GCCATAACACATCAGATCAGACAAGAACACACCACAACACACCAGACGAGAGAAGACGAGCACGCCATAACACATCAGATCAGACAAGAACGCACCACAACACACCAGACAAGAGAAGACGAGCAAGCCATAACACATCAGATCAGACAAGAACACATCACAACACACTACAACACACACTATGCAATAATTCTATGGAGATTGATACGTAATCAGAAATAGATAAGAAGAAGACATTATTAATTACGCCCAAATGAAAAGGTCTGCCTCCATCCCCTCTGGCAAGTAAAAGCTATCGTGCCATAACGGACCCTGGTGTGAAAAGGCGTATATTCCAAAATCCAAATATCACCTAGTGTGCCAAAATATATTCAACAAAAAAACATCATAAAAGAGAGCTACCGTTATACTAGAAATGTCTATGATTTCACTTGGTTGGGGTTTAGGAGTTTTCTCTTCGACTGAAAAACCGGTTAACATGGCTCATCAATCATTCCGTGACTAGGCTGCTTTAGTCTCCAGACATTGTGTCAGCTGTCAGCAGCGATAAGATCAAGCAGACGTATGAGGGACATGCAGTAGACCTTGCCATCCACGAGCTGGGATGCTTTGATGCTCTCCCTTTCAAAGGATGTAAGACAGTTCGTGCTAGTTTGGATTGCTTCGAGAAAAAACTAAAAACGTTTCTTATATAGGGAAGCTTACTACTAGTTTTATTTGTTTTCTTGTTTTTCTTTTCTTCGTATTATTCTCTACTTTTATATATGTTGTAATTAGTTTTTAAGATTTGTATTAATTTTTTTAAAATCAAGTTTCATAATAGCATAGAGTCTTTAGTAATCGACATTTTTACAAGCTAATTTTAAATATTTCTTAATGTAGCTATAGTTGTCGTAAAGCGCTTTGCACATAGCATGTAAAAGCGCTATATATTATTATCATAATTAAGCAATATAGGGATGGATGATACATTAACACAATATCAAGAGGGCGTTATATGGTTAGTGGAAACTAGTTGCATCACACATTAACGTAATAGGGACCTTAATCTGCGGCAACGACGACGACGACGGCAACCATACAATAGCACTTATTGCGCTATTCAATAGATACTCGTTGGAATGTACAAAATACTATGCATCATTGCCGTCTTATGCTGAAAGTAAGACGTGGAATGTCCTATTTTTACGTACTAAAGAGAACGGCTACGACAAAAGCTTATCTTTGCTGATTTTCGTTATAAGTAAAGCGCTCCCAAAAGACGTTATTTCACTCTAAAACGGGGTGCTTATTGAGTAAAATACTAGACAAACATAAAATAATAAAACAATATAAGGTTGAAGCGTCTAAATTTCGCGGATGTTGTCGTCCACGTTGCCGTCCTGCAGCTTGTCCCTAGTATGATTCAAGAGGGCGTTATATAATCTACGGTTAGTGGAAACTAGTTGCATCATGCATTAACGCAATATCAAGAGGGCGTTATATTATATATGCTTAGTGGAAACTTGTTGCATCATGCATTAACACAATATCAAGAGGGCGTTATATTATMTATGCTTAGTGGAAACTTGTTGCATCATACATTAACACAATATCAAGAGGGCGTTATATTATCTATGGTTAGTGCAAACTAGTTGGATGATACATTAACACAATATCAAGAGGGCATTATATTATCTATGCTTAGTGGAAACTAGTTGGAT